CCCAAAATCATTCAGACAATTCTTAGTTGAGGTAGGCAGCCAATGTTCTCGTCCCATGCATACACACATGCACACCAGTGTATGCATGGTACTATACTTGCATTGTACAGATTCAACGCTTAAATAAAAATATAATAAAAAAAAAAAATGATTCCGGTAATTATGTGTCAATTTTCAAATAAAAATATAGTTCATAACAAGTAAAAAACCTCGAGACTGCTCGACTACGAGATCCCCTGAGTTTCGATCAACTGATATTTTAATAATTCTTCTACTTCACAAGAAACAACACATGCACAAAAAAGCACACACACAAACAAATTGGAATTTAGTTTTTTAATATCTTTTCTTGTGGATGGACTCTTTTTGAGAAAACTCGATATCTGCGCTATATACATACACTGACATTTAAAAAATTCAAATATAGGTTTTATATTTTCTGAGATCGACGTGTTCATACATACGGACTGACCGACGGACAAGGCTAAATCGACTCAGCTCGTCGTTCAGGGTGGTATGAGAACTGAAATGGCTATTTTTCTGGCTATTCTTGATTTTGATCTAGCCGTTTCTAGCAGGCTTGAAAGATTAATTTAGCATTTTCTTGCTCTGAAAAGTTGGCAGCATTGTATGTACATATGTATTTATGCATGTAAGCACAAGCAGCAGCTCACGAAAATTGAATTTTCTTCGCAGCAAGTATCCATATCTTCCCTTCTGTGTTAAGATTATACCGAACTCTTCAAACCGCTTGCTAAGCTCGTACAAAATACATATTTGCGTTCGTTATTATTTGTGGGAAGAGTATGAAAGCGTTGGTGCTCATTTCACGACGAGCGTGCACACGCACACTACAGCCCCTTGATATGTACATACATACATACATATGTAGATGTGTGAGCATCTGTATGCCTGAATGCAAAGCTCTTGCTGCAGTAGCAATTTTAAAACGTAGTATTTGTATTTGGTCAGTCTTACGGACTGTCATAACCACTTCACCCAGATCTACTATGTATGAGCATACATACATACATACATATGTATGTATGTACATAAGTACATTTATTTATTATTATAGGTAATCATGTGTGCAGGGTATATTAATGTTGAAACCGGTCTGCAAACTTCTGATTTAGTTATTAATGTGTTGTAAGAGAGAACGGGCTGGAAATAATGAAGTCATCTAAAAAGTTACTTACAGATAAGCTACTGGTGCTACTGGTTGTGCTTTATAGTTCGATTGTTGGCATGTGTGCTTATAAGGTGCCTGCCGTTAAAGTTGATCCCTTGATAAACGGCTTTCGTGTGTCCATAGCAGGTGAGTAGATTGCTCCCACAAACCTGTAGTTTCATAAACAAAATATTTTTTTTAGATGATCATGACATAAAAAGCGTGGCATTCAATGTGAATCGTAATCGAAATTTTACGGGGTTTGAGGAAGGCGAGTTTACCGCGCAAGTAAGAGAGTCACAAGATGCACGTTGGCAATATGATTTTGAGCGAGTTCCTTTAAGGGCGCATGATACTCTTTATGTATGGACTAGCGTTCAACACGGAAATGCGATTTTTCGTGACCAGAGTCAGAAGTTTCAGGTTTGTCAACTACATGGCGTTCATTTGCCTGCAGACTGTTTGAAAAAACCTAATCTGCAAAAAGAACCAACAGCGAAGGAAAATGAAATTAACAGAGGATCGCCGTCAACTTCTTGTTCGTTACACTTGCAAAGTGAAACGGAGATGTCACCTTCCCCAACCCAACCACCTTGTAAAGGTCAATTGATATTCGAAGAGGAATTCGACCAATTAAACGAGAGCCGTTGGCTTCATGATGTGCGTGCTCCACTTGACAGTACCGATGCTGAATTTGTGTTGTATGATGGAAAGGCACGTGTTCTTGACAGCCAGCTTATCATCGAGCCCATACTGTGGTCGATTTATCGACCAGACTTGCACATAGCCAATGCACAGTTAGATTTATCTGATAGGTGCACAGGGACACACAATAAGCAAAATGAATGCGTTCTGCTAACTAGAGGACCACTCATCATGCCCCCAGTGGTGGCTCCCCGGCTGAGCACTAAGGAATCATTTGCTTTTAAATACGGTCGCATCGAAATACGGGCAAAGTTCCCGAAGGGCGATTGGTTGGTGCCTTTATTGCTGCTGCAGCCGCTAATGGAGGCATATGGTCAAACTGGCTATGAATCTGGTGACTTGATAATATTTATATATTGCTTGAATATGATTAATGCTTTAACTACTTTATGATAGGTCAGTTGCGTGTGGCAATGATACGTGGCAACCAACACCTACGCCTCCCCCATGGTAAACTCATCGATGGTCGCACCGTTTTCGCCGGAGCTGTGCTCTCGACAGAAGCTTCACAACGCGAAGATTTTATGGTCCAACAGCGACGTAGCGTACACTTTGGTGACGAATTTCACCTTTACAGCCTAATATGGAGCAGTCAAAGCTTGCGATTTTTAATTGATGGCCAAGAGTACGGTAAACCTTTAACTGGCTTTGCAGAATCTAACCTAAATCCAAGCTGGCATCGGGGAGGGCCCATGGCACCCTTTGATCGCATGGCAAGTACCTTATATGAATCTAATTAATAAACTGAAGCTACAAATCTGAGGGTCTTATCAATTATACATTGCAAAAGCGAAGATTTATATATATGGAATCTATGGAAACATACAAAAGCAATAAAGTATTCTACAAAAAAACACTCAGTAAAATTAAGGCTATCACTGAAATTTTTCATTTTGACCTAAGCAAAATGGAAGAATGTTTCAGCTGGCTACTACTGATTGTATTATGCCCATTCAGAGAGTTTATAAAAACATTCGCAATTTATGTTTAAATAGTACTGAAAAAATTATATATATATTAAATTTTTTTCAAATATAGTTTTACATCACTCTGGGCCTCTCCGTTGGTGGCTTCGGCGACTTTGTTGATGAATTGCGGACTTCTAGCTTTGAAAAGCCTTGGATAAACAAACACCCACAAGCTAAGCTTAATTTTTGGCAAAGCCAGGATCAATGGTTACCCACTTGGAAGCAACCGACCTTACTGGTCGATTATGTCCGCGTTTATGCAATATAATTTATTTATGTCTGAAATAAAGTTCTACCCGTTATTATTAATTTATATTAATTAAACATTTTAGTAGTTCAACTTGCATATGGGTCACAATTTCCAATAGGTGGTGACTCTGAACCTATTGGAAATTCTCATGGCGTTTCCGACAAATATTATTTTTTTATAATTCGTATATTTCTAGCATGTTCACAAGTAGCATAATATATTTTTACTAGTGATCTACGACAGTATAAAAGTTATTTTCAACTTTAATTGTAATAATGAAAATGGAAAAATTTAATATAGTATTAGTACTGGTACAAATCGGAGGATCTTATCAATTATAAAACTAAACTCCGACTTTTTTAAATTTTCAATAATTACTTTGATACAAATTGGCACTATGCATTTTATAAAATTGTATAGAATGCTTAGGTTGATATCTCATCCACCTATTCTATTCGCTAGAATGATCTATATTATTTAGGTATGCTAACATAACTATTTTTAATAGAAACTTTATTCAGAAGATTTGTACCCGATTCTAGCTTTCAGCGGAATGCGTTGTATAAACACGAACATATTCTATGACCAACTTCGGATGCTTCCATGTTTTAGTAATATCTGATAGTTTATCCTCAAATGATATTGCTCCCCTGGGCGGGCTAAAAAACTTCATATCTCCGAAATTAGCGCTATGTTCTGTGGGAAAATTTAGTACACCTCCAGCAGTCAATCCCAGTACGATGTAATGCTGTAATAGACTTGGTTATTACTATTATTATAACACTTGAAAATCAATTTACCTCATTTTTATTTATTTCTTCCAAAATCGAGGGATTGTCAATTGTGCCGTATTCTTTCCCATCTACTTTATATATTAGTCGATCCCGATGTCGGATCAATGTATAGTTATGAAAATTATGTCCATAATGTTCTCCTGTTTCGAGTTTATTGCTCCTTAAAGATTCATTCATTTCGGTCTGCTTCCTTACGACGTCACCATAAAGAGTATTTCCGCCCAAAGCGTTGCCAGAGCCATCGAATATCTGAAGATTGCCTCGCGCATATGCGATGCGAATATGCGAATCAAAAATAGAATAGGATTCAAACTCGGCGTCGCTTGGATACAACAGTAAATCTAAAATATCAAATATATTATAATATTAATGTATGTATACATGCACACATACACAGGCATACGCACGCTGCACAGTGGAGCCTTTGCCGACAGAGCGTGGCAAAAATCAAAAAAGGTACTTTAA